CCTCCTGTTACCCACTCCAAAACAGCCCCAGCCACTCTCGCTCCTCTTCGTGAAGTGGCAAGTGCTGAAGGCATTGTTCGAGTTCACGTCCCATTCTCTATCTCAGACCTGTCCCAGGTAGAAAAACACCTCGGGTCCTTCACAACTAACCCAACCACCTATATCAAGGAATTCTAATACCTCCTCCAAGCCTATAGCCTCACCTTTCATGATATCTACATGGTTCTCTCCAATACCCTACTCCCCAAAGAGCACAGAAGAGTGTGGGAACAGGCTAGAGCATATGCAGATGAGGTCCATTGGACCTCCCCAGCACACCCCCTCGGGGCAGTGGCAGTCCCAGACCAGGACCCTGGCTGGGACTATAACTCCCCCAATGGCCTCAGTGCCAGAGATCAGTTCTCCACCTGTCCCGTTTCTGGGTTAAGGCGGGCAGCGCAAAAGGTTGTTAATTTTGAAAAACTCCAGGAGGTGGTCCAAGACAAAAACAAAAACCCTTCCTCCTTCCTTGATTGCCTTACCAAGGCCCTCCAACAATTTACTAATTTGGACCCAGAAACCCCAGATGGCTGTCAACTTCTTATGACTTATTTCTTCTCCTAAAGCTACCCTGATATTAAAACTAAATTTAAGAAGCTAGACCAAGGGCCCCTTACACCCCAAAATGTGGTTTTGGCTGCTGCCTTCTAGGTATACCACAACCAGGATGAAAAGGCCAAGCAGCAAAAATACCAAATGCTGGCTCAGGCTCTTTGCGGGACAGACACCGGTCCTCATAGTGGTAGAGGAGGCGTCCAGAACAAATGCGACCCTCCAGGGCCCTGTTTCAAATGCATCAAGGAGGGACATTGGGCGCCAGCCTGCCCTAATCCTAAACCTCCATCAAAACCGTGCCCCAAATGCAATCTTCCAGGACATTGGGCGGTGGACTGCCCCAGGCCCCAGAGAGGAGCAAGGTCAGCCCCCAACTCTACCCTGGACTTACTGGGCGTGGTCACTTTGGAATGACGGGGCCCTGGGTCTCCCCACACAATGATATCTTAAATGCTCCGGAGGCTAGGGTCAAAATTACGGTTGATGGACATCCCATCCTCTTCCTGCTAGACACTGGAGCCACTCTTTCTGTCCTGCAGGAGTTCTGGGGACCAACCTCACCATTCTGGTCTCCCGTAGTCGGGGTAGGGGGCCAAACCTTCATCCCACGCACAACTCCTACGCTAACGTGCATATTTGCTGGCGTCCCATTTACCCACTCCTTCCTGGTCATGCCTCAGTGCCCTATACCCCTTATGGGTAGGGACATCCTGGCCAAATTTCAGGCATCCATCACCTTCAACCCCAGTGCTGCCCACCTTCAACCCACTACCGACAACTTCCCTACTTCTCCTTTTGGCTTCTAGTCCCTGGCCTGCTTTGCTCCCTCCCCCACTTGCCTCGGCGGTTAACCCACTAGTCTGGGACATCCACACCCCTTCATTAGCCCAGTGCCCGCCTGTTCACATCCAGTTAAAGGACCCGTCCACTCACCTCAGTCAGCCATAATACCCTCACCACAGGGCCAGCCTGCTAGGTCTGCAGCCTGTCATAAACACCCACTATGCAAGGGATACTTAAGGCCCACCAACTCGCCATACAATACTCCATCTTGGCCGTAAAAAAGACTGATGGAACCTACCAGCTAGTCCAAGATGTTCAACTCATAAATGCAGCCATTCTCCCCATTCACCCACTGGTTCCCAACCCTTATACCATCCTGTCTACCATTCCTCCGACGGCAACTCACTTTTCAGTCATAGACCTCAAAGATGCATTCTTTACCATGCTCTTGGCAGGACATTTTTGTGTTTACATGGACTGACCCTACTTCCTGTCACTCCCAACAGCTTACATGGACAGTCCTCCCACAGGGATTTCGGGACAGTCCCCTCTGTTTGACCAGGCTCTAGCGGCTGACCTTAAACTCCTGTCACTCCCCAAATCCGCTCTCATCCAGTATGTAGATGACCTTCTCTTATGCAGCCCCTCTATAACTGACTCTCACACAGACACTGTCCTGCTTCTCAACTTTCTAGCACAAAGGGGATACCGAGTTTCCCCACACAAAGCTCAGCTATCCAAAACACAAGTCACCTACCTTGGTGTAGCTGTTTCACACCAAAAAAGGCCACAACAACCAGCCACAAGTCTGTTATTCAGTCTCTCCCAGTACCCAAAACAAAGGAAGAAATCCAGTCATTCCTGGGACTGGGGCTACTTCTGAGCCTGGATCCCCAATTTCACCCTTCTCACCAAGCCACCCAATGACCTGGCTAAAGGTGACCCTAAGGAACCGTTACTCTCCCTCTCAGCCATTAGGTAGCCTTTCACTGCCCTCCAACAGGCTCTCCTCCAGGCCCCTGCCGTACAACTACCTGATGTTCACCGACCTTTCACCTTGTATGTCCATGAAAACAAGGGTGCAGCCCTAGGAGTTCTAGGCCAATTCAGTGGACAAACATTTGCTCCTGTAGCCTATCTCTCAAAACAGCTTGACCACACGGTTCAGGGATGGGTCCCATGCCTGCGGGCCCTGTCGGCCACCCACTTGCTCGTGTGTGAATCCAAAAAACTCATGTTTGGAGCGCCTATCACTGTTACTTCCCCCCACCATCTACATCACCTCCTAGGATATAAGGGCCTCAAA